GGCATAGCTTCCAGTAGGAAGATTTCTATACTGTGTAGAGCTGGCAGGGTCCTTGTTATGAAACTCTCTGTCTACCACAATGGAAGATCCAGATGAATCTTGTTTCTCTGAAGTACTTTCAGTCTCTGTACCTATACCAGAAGAAACACAGGCCATATTTCCTGCATCACAACCTTTCGTTTCTGTACGGATATCTTGATGCTTTTTTTGCTTGCTTTCAGGCTGTCTAGGATCAGTCTGTGTTTCTTTTGTCTCCGTTTTTTTCCCAGGGGTATTATAGTGTCTAAATCTTGTTGCATGATAAAACATAGGGGAAGGTAGGGCAGCATTAAAATAAGGCCTTCTGTTAATTCTTGCATGCATTGGATGCTGTGGAACAAAAAATCCAGGGTACTCATGGAGCGCAACAGAATAAAACGGCAAATATGGATTTCCACTTCGGAAGCCTAGACATTGGTGATAAAAAGAAAAGACAAATATATTTTCTTTCTGAAATAAGTCATCCTGATAAATATTTACTTGCATACACAGGTACAGCTACAAGATCAGACACATCGTTAAATAAAGCACTCCACCTCTCAATGCTTGGAAACAAATCTGGTGCAAAAACTCAGAGAGAGTTCCTTGTTATGGAGTAGCTTATCCGGACACCTACACTTTAACCAGAGCTTGATTTCATTCCTTGGAACATTCACCACTTAGTTTTCTGGACCTGTTTTTTTTGTTATTTCATGGAATATTGCTGTAGCATTATCTTTGAAAAAGACAGCTCCAGATAGACATTAACGTAAGCATAGCACTTATAAGATGTATTTAACAATACTTCTCTTATAATTATTTTTAAATAATTTTTTAAGCTTACATATATCCATACCTATTGTGTATGCACATATGGAACTCATATATACACGCATATTAATTGCTAGGCATGTTCTAGAGCTCTGTGTCTGCAGGATGACCATTACTTAATGTTTTGCTTAGCTTCCATTCTCCAGGAACAGATGCTTCCTACCACAGAGGCTACATATTTAAGTAATATTTAATAAATCAGATTTTTGACAAGTGAAGCATTACATTAATTTTCACTTAAGCTCCCAAGAATCCCATTAACATAAGATACATATTTGTTTCCTCTGCTCTAGCAGTAACTTACTACAGTAACTTACTAAGCAAAGCCAGCTCAAAGAGCTCTCATTTACCTTACCTGGAGCAGGTACATAATATGGACTGTATCCGTGGCTGAGGTACCATGGATTTGGATAAGGCTGTTGTGCTGATGGCTGAGCATAAAAAAAGGGTCTTGAGTGGCTTGTGGAATATGATCCACTTTCTGAAGTTGAGGCAGTATTCATTTTTCTTTAAACACTGAAAGAGATAAATGATCATTATCAATCACTCAAAAACTGCACAACCTAATGATTTTCTGCTGTCAGAATTTAGCAGACATTCCTCTCCCAGCCCAAAGAAACCAGATCCTTCCAAAAGAAAGCTACTATCTTCCAAACAGAAGGTAGAAGGTTGACATTACTATTAAGGTCAAATATTTCAGTTGTACTTTGCTAAGCTAGCTTTTATATGCAGCTTTCAATATTAGTCCTTCAAGCCAACCTTATAACATGCTTTAAAGACACAGGACAGTCATAGAACTTTAGTAGTCTTAGATGCATGCATCCATAAGTAGCATCCCAGCCAATTAAAAGAAAAAGCCTCCAGTCAATCAGCCCTGAGCAAGAGGCCACCAAAAAAAAAAAAGAGGCAATAGAAGGCTTCAAACTATCAGACATTTAATGTTTCAGAAAGAAAACGCTTCTTAATGCTAATACATATTGTTACACATTACAATAAGAATTCTATTAATTCAGGATTTGTACTTTATAATTTATCTAAGAACAATGATAGCTAACATAATAAACAAAATATTTCAGTGACACCACGCTTCCTATGCTTAAACCAAATGGTAGGTAACAAAAACAACCCCACCAAAATCCTTATGTACAAGTTTGCATTCAGAATCATAAAAAATTCACAAGACTGAACTTCCTCCCACACTTATTTCTTTAGTTAGCTAACACACTAATCTCAGCCCATTCCTACCCATGCAAGTGATACAACCCTATCACACACAGGTTATAAAAAAGAATATAAGAAATCAGAGAACACAGAAGATTTGGTGACTGCACCAAAAAAAAAACCAACACCAGCTCAAATCTGTGGAGAATTTAAGCACTTTAAAATTATAGGAAAATTAATTCAAGACCTGTTACAAACTAGCACACCCTTCAGCCTAGAGTTTCAGAATACTTTTAGGAACACTGGAGCCCTCTTCAGTTTCCATGCAGGGTGGCCTGTCCAGCTCTTGAAAGCATCAAAAAACCTACACACTCTCCTAGGCCAAAGCTCCCAGAATTACTTTGACCTTTCAGAGAGACAGTAATGTAGGGAAAGAAAATAACCCACAAAAACAATCCCCCCCCCCTCCAAAAACTAAGCTATTCCTGCCCCCCTTAGAGCCCCTCAAAACTAAGGTTGCTGCTGTTCACAGCCCAGGAAGAAAGTAACCACATTCTCTGCTTACCCTCTTTATGGCAGGCAGCTGCTACTTGTCCACTCCCCCTCCCACCTGAGGCTTATTTAGCAGTGACGCAGGGGACCTCTTTCAGTCAATGTGTGGGAGGAGAGTCAAAACATGAGGGTAGGAATAATGGTGAAGGCCTTCAGCTGGTGTACAGAAAGCTGGCAGTCTCATCTTGCAGATGTTTAAGCTGCATCTCTAAGTGAATCTGGTATTTCCCTTTTGTATGTTGGAACTTACATTAAAAAAAAGAAGGGAAGTATTACCAGTCTTCTGATTAAATCTACTGTTAGAGACACTTCTTGTAGGAAAAAAAAATCAGACAATACAAGGCCAAGTTTATATTTGTTTCCAAGGTTTGCCAGTTGTTCAGTATGGAGCAAGGGGAGCAATGTTCTTCAATCCTAACATGGCTAAGTGGGCTGAGAAACGTAATGTGCTTTCCATATGAACAGGAGAAGTACTTATTGCAGTACAGTGTACTCCACCGTGTATGACAGGAATTCATGAAATGTGAGGTTGCAATTTGACTCTGTGATGGGTCTTTACAGGAGATGAGAATCTGAGTTGTTACTCTGGAATTGCACATCTCCAAATACAGTGCTCAGGTACTGGGGCAGGTGGCAGGAGAAGAAAGCACAGTGCATGAGCTATGCAGGCAGGTGAGTGGCTAAGGAAAAACAAAGTGGTATGGATGCTTAGAGATTTTTTTCATTTCTGTGTTGGAAAATTCACAAAGCCTCTGGTGTTTTTTTTTATTATAATGTTCAGATTAAACATGTTCTTTGCACCAAGACACAAAATATAAAATGCCTGGGAAGGATGACTGATTCAATCCTCGGAGACCTCCCCAGCCAAAGCTTGTCCTTTCCAGTGATGGCAGTGCTTGTACTTAGTGCAACCAGCCACTTGTAGTGACAGGACAAGGAGTAATGGGTACAAACTGAAAGAGAGAAAATTTAGGCTAGATGTTAGGAAGCCATTCTCTACTGTGAGGGTTGTAAGAAACTGGAACAGGCTACCCAGGGAGGTTGCTGGATACCCTATCCCTGGAAGTGTTCAAGGCCAGGTTGGATGGGGCTTTGAGAAACCCGGTCTAGTAAAAGGTATCCCTGCCCATGGCAGGGGGGTTGGAACTAGATGATTTTTAAGGTTCCTTTCAACCTTAACATTCAAAGATTTTGTGACTCATGTCAGATGTTTTAAATCCCCAGCTCCTGCATCCATCATACTTTCACCTTTTTGAAGCAAAACTCCTAGCTTTTCTTTTGGTGAGTGGACCCAAAGGGAAATAAAGAAAATAAATGACACTCACTAGCTTTTAAAAAGTTGCATTTATCAGGATTTTCCTTTCCCTTGGACCTCCCATCAGCCTTCAGAGTCAGAATCAAAGTCACAGAATCAGAATATTCTGAGTGGAAAGGGACCCACAAGAATCATTGAGTCCAACTCTTAAGTGAAGGGCCCATATGAGAATAAAACCCACTCCTGCCTCCCATGCCCCTGTCACTTCCTCTTCTCCTGAGGCAAGCTCCAGGCTCCACAAGCCTCAAGTGGCATTTGCTCAAGGGCCAGCAAACCTGTGCTTGGCCAAAGGACATTCCAGGATTCCAGGAGGGCCAAAGGACCAAAGGCAAGTTTCAGAGGGAAAAGGAGGCACTGGAATGTAAAGTGGACATGGCCAGGCTCAGCTTGCAGGTGGATCCCAGGGGGATGAAGCAATTCTGGGAGGCAGAGTGGGACATGGCTGGGCTGGGCCTTAACCCTGAAGCCTGCAGGCCTCCAGGCTGCAACAAGTCTGGGGCACGAGTCCTATGAGGAGAGGCTGAGGGGGCTGCGGTTGTTTAGCCTGGAAAAGAGGAGGCTTAGGGGTGACCTTATCACTCTTTACACTTCCTGAAAGGAGGTTGTATCCTGGTGGGGGTTGGTCTCTTCTCCTAGGCAACCAGTGACAGAACAAGAGGACATAGCCTCAAGCTGTATCATGGGAAGTTCAGGTTGGATATGAGGAGGAATTCTTCAGTTCAGAAAGGGTGATTAAACATTGGAATGAACTGCAGAGTCACCATCCCTGGAGGTGTTGAAGGAACGACGGGACGAGGCACATAATGCCACAGTCGAGTCGACATGGTGCTGCTCGGTCACAGGTGTTTTTTCCAACCTAACTGAGCCTGTGTCTCTGTGAGTCGCTCCTCCCAGCAGAGGGCGCCGGGGGAGGGGGGTGGGGTCCCGCTCCACGTCCCGCGGGAAGCGGCGCGCTGTCCCGGCGCGCGGGCAGGGGGCGCTCGCGGGGGGACAGGGAAGAGGAAACCGGGGGCGGGCCTGGCGCGCGGGGCTCGGCGGCGGCGGCTCCCCGCTTCGCGCATGCGCACACGGGGCGGGCGCGGCGCTCCGTAACGGCGGGCGGGGGGTGGGGGGGGGAGGAGGGGGGGGAGGAGGGGGGGGGAGGGGGAGGAAAAGAGGGGGGGGGCGGGGGGGCGGCAGCAGCGGCAGCGCCTGCGCGCCCGGGGGCCGCCGCCGCCTCCGCAGCCCGGTAGAGACACCGGATCCGCCGCCGCATCCTCCTCCTCCGCCCCGCTTCCCCGCGGCCGGGACGCCGAGGCAGAAGAGGAAGCGGCGGTTGGAGGTTTGTCCGGGGCGGGGAGGTGAGAGATGGCGGCAGCGGCGGCGCTCCCGCGCTCGCGTCCCGCCGCGCCGCGGCCGCCGGGCCCTTCGCCGTCCCCGCGGGGGGAGTGGCCGCCCCGAGGGGACCCCAGTGCCGTGGAGGTCCGCGGGGGAAGGGGGGGGTCTGCGGCTGCCGCTCTCCCCGCCCGGGCGGGCGCGGCTCCTGCCCGCCCCCTCCCTCTCTCCGCGACCTGCGGCCGCTCCCGCCCGGCGGCGGCAGCCCCGGGCCCGCCGGGCACCGGCGGAGGGGACGGCGGGGGCCGCCCTCGGGTAGGGCCGGCTCCCGGGAGAGGCCGGCGGGGCGGGAAGGTGTCCCCTTCTTTCTGGGGGAGGCAGGAAAGGAATTACGGCGGCGGGGGGACGGGACGGCGCACCTGGGCATCGGGGGGAGGGAAGAAATGCGTTTCCTCGCCTGTAGTCTCATGTCGGCGCGTCCCGCTGGCGGGAGGGGGCTGTGACCTCGGGGCTGTAATGGGAGGTGGGCAGCGGGGCTTCCAGGGCTCCCCTTGGGCTGAGCAGGTGGGGATGTCTGCAGCCTCGGTGTTTGTGCTGGATGTGCTTGGGAGGCACAGACCCGATGAAGCCTTCGAGGAGAGCAGCAGTATAGTGGCACTGCCGTTTCCCGTAGCTGCCCTCGCGTTTCCCTACTGATGGATGTAGTTGTGTTCGTCTGTACGCTATTGGTACCTGCGGTGGCCGAGGGAGGGCTTCGGTGTTTATATGGGGATTCGAAGTAATTCTTAGTAAGCTTTTATAGGCTACATATATGCATAGTATAGCTTAGAAATTAGTCATCTGCATGCTTAGGATTTTTCCGGTATTTAGCATTATTTCTGCTAGGATAGATACCTGCTGCTTTTGAAAGAACTTTAATTACGATTTAGAAATGGATTTGTGCTGTACTTAGCCAGTTCATTTTTAGAGGTTTTATTGCAAAGCCACATCTTGGCTTTCTACATCATCTACATGTACTTTGTGGTCATAGTGGGCCTGAAAGGCTGTGTGCTGTTGTGAGCTCACCTAGGGCTGTATCTACGTGAATTTTGTTTGGATTATGTATTTAAGAGGTTATTAAAATACACACTCAACTTAGTTCAATTTCTCAGATATGTACCTGGAGAAGTGGGTAATTTTTAGTATTTAATATACCCAGATGCGTAAATTGTGTAGTCTCATGATTTGAGTATAGATGTCGCACCTCTTTCCTAATTATTTTTGCGTGTGGAGTAGAAGGGCCCATTATACTCAAAGATGTGTAAGTAGCATCTTGCAGGAATAGACCAAAGGGGAGGAAAAGATGATGCTGCTTATTTAGTATTTTTTTGACTACATTTTAGACAGATGGTTGTTTGTGCTTGTTTTTTTTTCCAAAAGCAGGCTTTTTTGTTTTGGTCATGTGATTATGAAACAGACCAGAATTGGTGCAAATCCTAAAATTTCTCTTTCTTTATTTAGTGGCTGTTGTGCTTTGAGAATAAATTTTATACGCATGAATATGATATCCATTATAAGACTTAACCTTTCAGGAACTAACTTACAATTAATTAAGCTACATTAATTATTAATCTAATTTCTTAATGTAGAAATGCTTGAATTTGTAGTTGAACATCATGTAGTGAATATTTAAGGGACTAATGCATACTTGAAAACGAATTTAAGTTGTTAAATAAAACAGACTAGCTTCATTAATGTACTAGAGTCCAGAGAGAAAAAAAAAAAACCACGGTTCTGTACATCCATGACACATGGCTGAATCTTACTGCAGACATCTATGGCCCACTTTTTTTCAAAGGTTAATTTCCCAAAACACATCAAGTCGTTCCACAAAACAGAAACACCCTTGGGGATGGAAACTACCTGTGCTCACTGTAGAAGTCCAGTTGCCAGTTTAAGCTGTTGGTTTATCTGGTGCTAATTTTCTTTCTGAGCAGGTATTTCCTTTAGTGTATAACTTCCTTTAGGTGCAGAAAAACAGGAAAGAAACTGGTAATGAGGAGTGCATTGTGACGAAACAGGTTGTTAGCGTGGAGTCTGACACTTCTGGTCTCTGGCTTCTGCATAGTTTCAGAAAACTCACCTACCTCAAAGCTGTAACCTCTCAAACATAATATGTATGGAAAACAGTAGTAGTTTCCAGGTGAATAGTCATTTTCAACATAACATTGTAGGAATGAATCTGTCCTTGTCTTTTGTGAAATTTTACATTGTTGCTTTATTAGAATCTCCTTGATGTCCTCGGTTTTCTGGACTGCAGTGCTATCAAAGACACCTTTGATGGCTTTAGAAGAGAGGAAAACTTCCAAGTCTGGAACTGCTTCATCAATTACCTATTTCTCTCTCACTGCCAAGGATGCAAATTTGATACATTACTCAAGAATCTAGAGCTTCCAACTTTTTCTTTCTTTCTTTTCTTTCTTTCTTTCATATCAATTTACAGAATTGATTCTAATCAGTTTTAATACTCACATTTCCCCTTGCTGTTAGCTGGTATACTAATTTCGTAACTCGGAATATCCCGAATAGGAGCCAAGTATTAAGGTGCCTGAGCTTGGTACTTGCATTGCTAGCTGGGAGGATTGCTATCTCCACACACAAATGCTTGTTCAGGTCTGAATTCTGACGTTTTATTATGTTAAAAATAGTGAATGACTCAGTTCTTTAGACGTGTTTCAACTTGTGATTTTTATGAAGCTGCCCTTGGATGGAAATAGGAATTTGATTAAAAGTGCACAAGAGTAGTATTTAAAATTCTTTTTAAAATTAGTTAAAACTAGATTACATAAATTGAAGTCCAGGGAGATAAGTTTTGATTGTTGTGTTTCTAATTTTTCTTCCAAACATACGGGTTTATTGAAGTGTGAATTGTAGTTAGTGAAGTTAGAATTCAAGAGGTATTTAGATGGCTGAAGATGCAGATGGAGACCTGTGACACTTTCATAGATCTTCTAAGGGTTTCCCAGCATTTTATGGGAAGTTAGGCATCTAATCTGGCAGACTACTTAATGGGATTTTCAGAAGGATTTACTTCTGAAAATATCAAAATATCTAAAACTACAAAACAAAAGAGAAATTGCATGTTTATACATCTTTTACCCTTCTTATAATTTGCAAAACAATAAATATTTGTTTAAATGAGTTCAGTTGAAGATTATTGTATCTATATATCTTATATCTTTCCCTACCAATTAAATTGGAAATAGTCAATATACTTATTCCATGTTATACACTGAAGTATAGTGTTAACACTACCATGTATGTAGTGCAGTATATATCTCTGTTTATCAATCTTTGCCTGACCTCAGAAAATAAACAGATTCAAGGAAGGCAATTAATAGCCTATCCCATAACTCATTAACATTTGATGACTAATTTTTTGAATGGTCTCATTCAGATTTGAAGTACATGAACAAGTGTTAACAAGCCACCTCATTAAAATTACTCAATCGAAAAGGAATAATTACTTAAAAAGAAACCCTCTTATCAACGTGTTACTTAATGTTGCTCTCCAGCTTGACAGGAAGCTACTTTGTATCACCCAGTGATAACTTGATTTCATTTGCAATCCAGCACTGCTGTGGCCTTCCAGCAGCTACCTGCCCATCCCGTTTTTAGAGAGCCGGCTTCCAAGAAGTTGCCCAGAACAAAATGGTCACTCCAGTGACATTGTTGAAGGGGAGAGTCTCATTCGTAGAAACCTGTACCCAAGGATTGTTTTTATTCTATGAGAATTCCAGTTCAGGATATTAAACTAACTTCAGCCGTAGATCTTTTCATCCATAAGTCAGGAATGTTCACTGCTGTGTGGCCATTAAAACTACAGCTGACTGTAGTGCATCTGTACACATCTTCTCTAGTCCATAGTTTTTTTGTTTAGCTGATATCCAAGTTCTTTATCTGAGATCCAAGCCAGGTACAGTGTGGTGAGAGAGATGTTGGGTTGGGAAAGAGCTGAGCCTCTTGTGTTTCTCTGTTGGAAGTTACTACGTTGGCAGCTTTGGACAAGCTGCTTTTTATTGCAGTGCCTCAGTTTTTCAGCCTCTGAAGTGAGGAGAATACCTCCTTTAAAACTGTTTTGAACTCTTCACAGAGGTGTGAGAAAGGCAGGCAATCTTGGATGACTTTCCAGGTACTATATGATGTTCTTACACTACTTATCCTATTGTTTTGAACAGAGTCACTTCTCTTGAGCAAATGATGATATAAATGAGAGCAATTTTGGAACAGAAATTCAGAGATCCTTGATGTATTTATTGTTTTCCTGAGGAGTATGGTTCCATTACAAGGGAATGGGATGCAACTCCAGACTTCATGACAAATGCCAAACTTTGTTCTTTGGCAAATGGTTATTGTTAGCAGCAAAAAACACAGGGTGGATGTGGAAAACAGGAACCATGTACCTAGCATGTTCCTACCATGCGCACCTCCCTGGAGCACATGACAGATGGTTTCCTGTAAACCAAGGACTCACAGCTTTGTAAATGTATGGTTCAAAGGTGATTCACATCACAAAAATGTTCAGCAACAAGACTCCTGTCATCTCCTCAACCTTTTCTGCTACTGAGGGTCATACTCAAATGTACTGATTATTTATAGTAATTAATTTCACAGTTTCAACTCATCTTCTGAACAGGTCTGCTTTTTCAGTTATTGACTGTCAGCCGCACGCTGCCAAAAACGTCTTTAATCTGACTAGCAGGTGTATATCCATTTCTCCATGGCATCCTTGGCTGGTTCTAGTACCTAATGATTGCATTGGTGCATATTAGGTTCGTTCTTATTTCCTGTTCCTGAAGAAATACTTGTATTCTTTACAATTACATCAGTATAGGAAATTATGATATCAGTGACTTCTTTTGCTAAAGCTTAGTATTACTGATGGTCTGCCCAAACAGATCTTAATCCACCAGCTTGTATTGTTCTTGAAACTTTACTCCTGAGCCAGGAAAAACAATGCTGCAGAGAGACCTGGGATACCAGTAGAGCCATAAGCTATTTATTTCGGTGGGCCCAGCACACTTAGGAAGTCGGTGTTTCTCTGTAGCCCATTTAAAGTTCAGTGCAAAATCTGTCAGTGGATTAGGTTGCATGGTAAGCTGTTATCAGATAACCAGGATGGTGCTGCAGAGACAGGATGTGTATGAATTTGGTGAAAGAGAACCTGTGACTTGAAGCAGAAGGTCATTGCTTTAAATGAGCAGTATTTTTGTATATCCTCAATATACTTGTGGTTCAGTGACTTCAGAGCTTACCTGAAACTTGAAGGGCTGAAGTCAAGACTTGTGCTAGTATCTGTTATAGCAGATAGTAGTCTCTGATTCTTCTTTCCCCAAATATTAACATCTTTTCTGTTTTTCATAATTAACTGCGTCCACCTGAACAAACAGTGAACGTTAGGTTTGACTATTTGGACTGTTTTCCAGTTAAAACAACCAGAGAAAACGAAGAGTTTGCGATTCCTGTTCGTGTATATTTCTTCAATGATGAAGAAAAAGATGAGTGACACTAAATTAGTACTAATTAAAGTGGCATTAATTAAGCATATCTGTTTCAAGTGAGTGAATCTTGAAAGACAGCTGGTTTTGAATTGTATTACAGGCAGTGTTGAAATACTAGATCTTTGATATGGCTGGCAGATATTTCTACAGCCTTCATCTTGTACTAAATCATGTATTTTTGTGTGGAATTTCAAGTATGTAATTTCAAACAAGTTGTTTCTACATTCTCTGTTCATCATGAACTATAATGATAATGATGTCTTAGACACAAGACAAACATGTGCCTGGTTATTCCTCGGGTTTGGAATGCAGAAGAACAGTGGAAGATTAAATAAATCTGAAAGTATTTGATAGCTGTGGTACTCTGGTGCCTGTTATGATGGTAATTTCACTGTCACAACTATCTCATTCTTAATTATGTTTTTGTGTCCACATGGAAGATAAAATAAAACCTGACCCCATTTTTAAGAGGAGGAGAAGTGTCCAAACAAGTAAATAGGCTTTGGTAGCCACTGTAGGTGTTTTGACTCCTGCTATTCCAGCATCCCTTTGCTTCTACTATTTTCTTATTTTTCGTTTCCATTGTCTGCAGCAGTCAGGCCTACCTGGCTGAATGGAAATAATTCAGAAGTTAAAAAATGGGATGTGAAATATTAATAGGTGAAGCCCTTCTACAAGAGAAGATGAATCAAATAAGCATTGGGGATATAAGTTTTTAGGTTTTTTTTAATTCCTGTTTGATTTTGCTTGTTCTCTAGTAGAATGCCAAAGGTGAAATAAACAGTTTGATGGTGATGATGAGAGTTTAGTTGGAAAACTAAAGTTGCAGTTGAAGAAACTGCATTTATATTTTTAGTGGCCTGGTATTGATAAACTTTAAGTAGAAAAGAAACAAAGAAGTGGAAAAAGTAGCTGTTTATCAAGGAAATGGGGGGAAAAAAGTGGCTGCCTTATCAGTGGTTGAATGAAATTCACAGGTGTACTTGGTGGGAAATCTGGGTCATTCTTTGAAGAGGAATAAAGTCTTACTGAACCTTGTTTTAACTCTCCAGCCTTAGAAGCTGTGTTGACAAAATAAATTATTTTAATTTGTGAGTCTAGGTCATATGAGAATTAATGTACAAAATCTAATGCTTTTCATTTCTTAGATACTTTTGTTGTTTAATTTTTTTCCTAACAAGGATTTCAGTGCAAGTAATTAAGTACTAATTTAGAAATGTTTGTTAAACAATTAGTTTTGAGGGGGTAACTAAGAAAGGTTTTTGTTAAAGTGCTAATGGTAAATTAATTTTATTTTCCTGCTTTCAGTCACTCAAGTGCAGCCACTGATCACGAGATGTTACCACGAAATCTACCTCAGACTTCACGTTTGCTCACTCAGTTGCTGCGTCATAGATCTCAAGAGGAGCTCTGCAGACACTCCTGAAAGTCTCTGAACAGACTATGACATCAAGTTAAAGCATGACGACCTAACAGTAGTTCAAAGTCTCAAACATTGATTCAGCAGTTCAAGATTAAACTGCCCTTTTTCACCAGTATCACTTCCGAAGGCTACAGACCTCCTGCCATTTCTTTCCTGGTTACTTCAGAATATTCAACTGACCTTTCTCTGGTGAAAAGATCTTGACTTTTCTCTCTGGTCCTGGAAATATTAAATGGAATACAGTCATGTCTACCCAGGACGAGAGGCAGATAAATACAGAGTATGCTGTATCCTTGCTGGAGCAGTTAAAATTCTTTTATGAACAGCAGTTGCTAACTGACATAGTGTTGATTGTTGAGGGCACTGAATTTCCCTGTCATAAGATGGTTCTAGCAACGTGCAGCTCGTATTTCAGGTAAGTATTCAAACTAGGCTCTGTTAATTCTATAAAATTTGTGATACCTGTTTTTGAGTGTAATATTAATTAGCAATGTGTTGCAGAGATTAAAGATCAGTGAAGTAAGTAAAAAGCCTAAATATCCTTACTTTCCAACACCAAAATAGTAAAATTTCTAGTGTCTTGTGACTTAACTCTAGATAAGTATTGTGCTTTCTACAAGAAGTGTGGGGGGGAAAAAAATCACACTTGTGATGGCTCATTTTCTTTAGGGAGTTAATTGAGTCTGAATAATTAGTAAATTTCTTTTTCTTCATGCTGAATCTTTATAGTATTTAATCTATTTTTATTTCCCCAGGTAGGATAACAAGGGATTATTGAGACTTGCCTATGGGAATTCCATTATCATGTTTAACTGTAGTTTCTTAGCAGAAGCATCTGCTACAAGTAGGGGTTGCTGTGCAAGTTCATGGCTTCCTTTTCTGAATCATCTGCTTTTCTGTGCTCAGCAAAGATGCCAGAAACTCTTCCCTTGTTTGAGTCTTTTGTTTCGTTTTATTTCGTTTTGTTTCATGCCCCTCCCTAGATACTGTTGAAATTTTTAATTCAGGAGCTCTTTGCTTCCCAGGTGTCCTGTTTCTTGTCTTTTGAAAAGCTTTTTAAATAAGATACACTGAGTGCTACCCCTTTTTGCAGATACATAGTAAGACCTTGATGATGAGGCACCATGAATTTTCTGCAGTGATTAATCATTTTTTGTTGGCAACACAGTATAATTAATCTGCCTGTCTGGAAGGAATTCTGAAGCTTGAAACTAGTCTTGGTGACATCCACGCATGTTTTACCTTCCTGATGCATTGTGGAGGGATTATAACTTTCCTGTTTAATCACAGAAGACTTTGCAAATTTGCTTTTCTTGAGATGGGCTTGCTGTACAGAACACATCTAAAATGTTTTCTCTGTTTTGTCTCCTTTCTTGTAGAAAACTGTTCAAGGATTAATTTATTAATTTTTGTTGCTGCTGGTTTTTGTGTTTATTTTTTCATCTCGGATGAGTCTGGTCCAATTTTTAGCAACAAGTATTGTGTGATCACTAGATAATGATTATTACCATTGGCCTTGTGCAAATGACATAGTTCCAACAGTTTGTAAAATAACAGCCACTGGAAATGGAGCCAGATTTAATGTGGGTGGTTAATCATAAGGTTGGAAAGCTGTCATGAGTCCACACAGTGTGCTGCATCAGAATGTGCAGTCAAATCTCTTATTCATATGTGTTTGTTTATTATTTATGAAATGAGGTTTTGGCACCGGTTAAAAGAAGTATCAAACTTGTGGTTTTGTCATGTTCTGTTTTTCTTCTCTAGTTTGGTTTACAAAAAGATGCTCAGCTTCCTAAATTTAGCTTTATTATGAAAAATTGATAGCCCTGAAGGAGGGGGAAGAAAGGCAAAGCATCTCTTGGTGTGATCCAGCCATTGTGTGTGATTGTGCAGCCAGCCTACCTTCATCTTTGTGCCTGAGCGATGTGCAGCCCTGCTCCAGCACAGCCTGCTCAGCAGTGCATAAGCATCAGCTAGAGCCAGTCTCCAACAGCTCCCTCTTCCTTTCTGTGAGAAATGGGGATGGGATACTGTCTTGGGATTGGATGCTTCCTGGAATGGCTATGCATAGGGAGTGTATCTCCAGGTTCCATTCACCTCTACAGCCAGAGGCAAGACTAAAGAGTAGATTCTTTCTAACTTCTCTCATACCTGCTTTCCTAAAAAATACCCAAATAAAGAGCCTTGAACTGAATTTTCAATACAGCCATAAATACCAAACTTGAATTAATATAAAGCTCTTAAAACCAATGTCCCCTGTTTTAAGAAAATTGACAGGTGTGTGGTTTATAGTACGAGATTCCAGATAGTTCTTAAGTGTGTTGCAATTACAATACCAGAGTGGGCAATAGGTGCATAAAACATTATGGAAACAATAACCATTTTTTAAAATTGCCTTTCTACTCTTTTTCAGGGAGGTGTAATGGAAATACTTATGTTTTTGTTTGGGGGTTTTTTTCCCCCCAGACCAGATCTAATAGGTTTTTCTGTTATTGATTTTTGTCTGCAAACTTGAAGTTTACTGCATGTTATGATGAATGGTATATAAGAAATAATTCATAGAGTGCTAGTCCTTGCTCCATTTCTCCTCCTCCCAGAGGAGCATCCTTTTTGATATGACTTAGCTCAGTCCATTACATAAATCTGCTTCCTTTGTTTTAGAATCTAAAATCTAGCTGTAGTACATTACAACAGTATTTTCTGGAGGGTGTTTCTTCCCTCTTATCACCTATCGTAGAAAAAGGTTTAAATTGCATTATTAAAACTCCAAAATCATTAGTTCTCTGATGATTAACATAGAAGAGTTCTCTTGAATATAAAATATTTCTACAGAAGGCATTGATGGTACTTTTAGGATGTTCTGTACAAATGCTTTATCTTTAATATTAGATATTAGCCTGAGGTAAATACTAAACTCCTGTAAACAGGCAAGCAAAAAGACTGTTCATCTTCTGGAGTGTAATCACCAAAGACTTACAGGTGACTGTAAATTAAGATTACTCACTGTTGATCCTTGTCCTAATATGTATGTTTCTCCTCAGAGCCATGTTCATGAGTGGGCTGAGTGAAAGTAAACAAACACACGTACACCTGAGGAATGTGGATGCAGCCACTTTACAGATTATCATAACTTACGCATACACGGGTAACTTGGCAATAAGCGACAGCACAGTCGAGCAGCTCTATGAAACTGCCTGCTTCTTACAGGTAGGAATGTTTTGAGTATGAAATGTCAGCTTCTAATCTCCAAACTGTTTCACTCTTTGTCTTGTTAAATCATCTTTCCTGTTCAGTCATTTCAAAATACTTGTGTTCAGTTTGCTCAGTATAGAGAGCAGATGCTCGTCAAATACACTTTATGTGTCCATCCCTCCTTGCATTAGAGTCCCTGTGGAAGGTGGAAGTAAACCAGTGCACTTCCAACTTTTAGAAAATTAGTTTCTCCGGCAGACATAGTCACGTGGTGTACTTCATCTGTATGAAGCCGTTGAGTGAGTCACCACTGTATTTTTGTGTATACCGAGTATTCCAGGCCTAAACTCTGTTGTTCAACACCAGATGCAGGTACTTTCACGTGCTGCTGGTACATGAAGGCATACATTGTATGCAGTAATACTCCTTGTGTTTTTTCTTTGCATTACAGGTAGATGATGTGTTACAGCGGTGTAGAGAATACTTAATCAAAAAAATTAATGCAGAAAATTGTGTGCGTCTGTTAAGTTTTGCTGATCTCTTCAGCTGTGAAGAGTTAAAACAGAGTGCTAAAAGAATGGTGGAGCACAAGTTCACAGCTGTGTACCACCAGGAGGCTTTCATGCAACTGTCACACGATCTACTGATAGATATTTTAAGCAGTGACAATTTAAATGTGGAAAAGGAGGAGACAGTTCGTGAAGCTGCTATGTTATGGCTGGAGTACAACACGGAATCACGATCGCAGTACTTGTCCTCTGTTCTTAGCCAAATCCGGATCGATGCACTTTCAGAAGTAACACAGAGAGCCTGGTTTCAAGGCTTACCACCTAATGATAAATCAGTGGTGGTGCAAGGACTGTACAAATCAATGCCCAAGTTTTTCAAGCCCAGACTTGGCATGACAAAAGAGGAGATGATGATATTCATTGAAGCTGCTGCTGAAAACCCTGGTAGTCTTTACTCGTCTGTCTGTTACAGCCCACAGGCGGAGAAAGTTTACAAACTCTGCAACCCTCCTGCTGACTTGCATAAGGTTGGGACACTTGTAACTCCTGATAATGACATTTATATAGCAGGTGGGCAAGTTCCTCTGAAAAACACAAAAACCAATCACAGTAAAAGCAGCAAACTGCAGGCTGCCTTCAGAACTGTGAATTGCTTTTACTGGTTTGATGCACAGCAAAACACTTGGTTTCCAAAGACACCGATGCTGTTTGTTCGTATAAAGCCATCCCTGGTCTGCTGTGAAGGATACATCTATGCAATTGGAGGAGACAGCGTCGGTGGGGAGCTCAACAGGAGAACTGTGGAGAGATACGACACTGAGAAGGATGAGTGGACCATGGTGAGCCCGTTGCCTTGTGCGTGGCAGTGGAGCACGGCAGTGACAGTTCACAACTGCATTTACGTCATGGCACACAACTTGATGTACTGCTACTTCCCCAGGTCGGACGCGTGGGTGGAAATGGCCATGCGACAAACAAGTAGGTGTTTTGCTTCGGCTGCTGCTTTTGGTGATAAAATATTCTATATTGGAGGACTGCACATCGCCAGCAATTCCGGTATAAGGCTCCCAAGCAGTACTGTAGATGGGTCTTCCGTAACCGTGGAAATCTACGACGTGAATAAGAACGAGTGGAGGATGGCAGCCAATATCCCTGCCAAGCGCTATTCTGACCCCTGCGTTAGGGCCGTCGTCATCTCTAATTCCTTGTGTGTCTTTATACGAGAAACCCACATGAACGAGAGAGCCAAGTATGCCACCTATCAGTACGACCTGGAACTCGATCGCTGGTTTCTGAGGCAGCATATATCGGAACGGGTGCTGTGGGACTTGGGGAAGGACTTCCGGTGCACTGTAGGAAAGCTGTATCCATCTTGCCTTGAAGAGTCCCCATGGAAACCTCCAACATATCTCTTCTCGCCAGATGGAGCTGATGAATTTGAGCTGGATGGGGAGATGGTTACTTTACCACCTGTATAGCTCCCAAATTAGACTGCACAACTGATTCTATGCTCAGTTATAAAAGAGAAAAGAAATGGCTGTGAAAGAACATGTCTGAGAATGGTCAGAATGTCAGACCTGTCTTTCATGAATTGTATTTTTATGCCCTACCTAATAACACTCGCCGCCATTCAGTACGAATAAATGAAATGAGCAGATATGCTTCCATAATCTGAAATACTATTATCCGATAATTGAGAAACATATATGTATATCATAAGCTTAAGCATCTGACTTGTCTAAAGAATGAACTCTAGTTCTATGAAGTCTCAGTTCAGGAAAATTAGCTTCAGAAAAAAAGTAGTTAATGTTTCTAGGATGATGTCTCAACTCTTTTGAAAATATCTTCCAGTTATATTTGAACTACTTCTGGATATTCTACTTAAGTGCTAGTTATATAACTGTCAGTGTGGCCTAATAAAAGGACTGTGCTGCACTCTACTTAATACTAATATCCATGTTGGTATAGCAATGCCATTAAAAGAAAAAGAAACAAATCCCATGGATCTACCTGTGGTAGGAAGGGTAGATCTTCCATTGTATGGTAACATGCAGGGCAAAATGACTGCAGGTTCAGTCAAGCTGTATGATGAGGTGCATGTGTTCTATTTTCACTAACTTATACCTGTCTATTTAGAATACAGGTCTTCCAAGCAGCTGGTAGATTACCAGGTGTGGATTTAAGTTGCTGGGCTTGCAATAGGAATTGCCAGCCCTCATAGTGCGGGTCTGTGTGGGGCTTTAATCAGTAAATGCCTCCACACTCTGTATTACAGTAACATTGGCTCATGTATATTACTTCCTGCTGCTGATGTATTTTTCCATTGTAAAACAAAGTTTTAGTGTGGATTAACCAGGTCTTTATTTTCTGTTAATTTAATAACAAGCATTACTGTAGTGTGACTGTGTATAGATATCCCTTAGCTGTCAGGTTTTTTACTTCGGGGGGGGGGGGGGGAAGCAAAATTCAGGAATATCCTGTGCTGTGTGTGCAGGAGAGCAGATGACTAGTGCTGCTCTGGCATTAATCCCAGGAACCACTAGCAGTAGCGGGGCGCCGCCAATCTAACATGAACACAGGTGCTTCATGACAAACCTTACTAGCATGTTCAGCTGCATCATGTTCTGGCACTGTATTTTGAATGACATTAATTTATTAAAAAAGATTGAATCCAACTGACTTTGAGTGTGCTTTTTGGTTGAAATAGAGCTATGACACGTTCCCACCACATGTTCACTTGAAGCAAGTTGCTTATTGAAGGCAACTTGAAATACTTAAGTCTGGAGATGAGTACATTAAGTTGCCTGTGCTTACTAGTCAGCGAAAGCTGGAAATTAGGTATTCAAGTCAAACTGAGGATTACACAGAGCTTTAATCCCCTGCTATCATATTTATAAATCAGCACTCCTCCAATCACGGGACAAATTCTGCCCTACTAAAAGTAAAGAACAGCAGGCAGTCAGGAGGTAAATGAGGAACCTTTTCCATAAATTCAGAAGATGGCAGACCTATTTTCAGTCTTGATTAATCAAATTTATTTACTCCTTTGTCCGGACTGCCACTGGCTTTTCCCAAATTCCATTTCTTATTCCATTAAATACAGTTGCAGCTTTCAACAAAGACAACACCTATATATCATTGGGACTAGGCCTCAAGTGGCTTTACAAAGTTTTGCCTTGTACAATTATTAACAGTTTTGTAAGAAACCTGCCTTATATAAAAACCCTTACTGGTGCTTTGGCATTTTGTGCCATGTGGGGATTTATAGGACCCAGAATAACAATGGCAAGCTACCAATTTTTTATTTTTTTTTTTAAGAAGGTGACATAACATGTTTGCATTTACCATTGCATAAACTTTTTTAACGCCTACATTTTTTAGATAAGAGGGGTGAGATGACTCAGGGGCTCCTGCCGATAGGTCTGTTTATATTGCTTTCATGTTGCAAGCCTGTGCAAGGGAGCATACATTAAAACAAAAACAGCGATACTCTTTTGTAATGCAATTGGGAGAATCACATACCTCAGGCAAAAACATGAGTGGTATCCAAGTAACTCCAGCCTGGATGGAGTGCTCAGTTCTGTGGCTCATTCTCCTTTCACTTAATTGTTATCAGGCCGCGTTAGGCTTCAGGATAAGCCTTTGTTGTTTAAGTGTAGATGATCCATATAGCTAGTGAAGGAGCAGAGTGGGCTGGTTCTGTTACTGAGAACTTTCAACTTGAGTTTAAAATCTTATGTGTAGTTTTTTACCAAAGGGGAAAAAAAAAAAGGCAAATTTGAATAGGAAATAAATACCAAATAGGAAATACTAAATTGCAGTGGCTCTGAGTCACAACTGGCTAACAGAAGCTGGAAGAACTCGATTTTACCCATTTAGGAACATCTTTTGAAATACAGCCAGTCTATATGACTTCCTTCTAGTCTACAGTTTTTGTTGGTTTTTTTTTTCTAGATATCATCTGTATCTTTTGTATTCTATATGGTCCAAGATTATGCAGTACCTTATTTAAAATTTATTTACTATTAATTATACGGTATTTTAAAGACAAGACTAATCAAGTGTTGAACAGTTCTCTAGTGACTGTTAAAGACATACTGTTAGTTCACTTACACAATTACTTGCTGCAGTCAGTATTCAAGCCCACAGAAAAACAGCTGGCAAATGCTATTCTCAAGTCTAAATTCTTTCTCTGCATAATTCAAGAAGGAAACTGTGCAGGCAAAGCATTGTCATGTGCCTGGAAGTGGTCACTAGTAGAATTAGACTTCTGCAGGAACAAAGACAAGAGCCAAAAAACCTGCAGTTCTTATTTCATAAAGAGAGCAAATGTGATTAAAGCCTTCACAGAGTTCTAGCTAGTATCTTACTACAAAGCTTCAGTCTAATCCCAGCCTATTCAACCTCTACTTGGCTCTGATGTATATCTACACACAACGTTCAGTGAATCAACTCTGTATGTCCTCAAGCTCTGATATATTTGCAAGTTTGCCTCCTTTCTGGTAGAACTAAATTTAAGTCAGTCTTACATGGTTTCAGTTCCCCTTACCCAAAGTAATAAAAATGTGATCTGGCCTCTGCTAATTTTTAATGCGTCCACTCCTTTTTACAGTTGTTTAAATACATACCGAATTGCAAGTTTAATTTTTGTTGTAAGGGGACCAGTAAGATCTAGGGCAGTGAATTGTGTCAAGCTTTACAGAGAACAGGATCAGACAGAGAGTTAATTTGCAAGAGTGAAATTATTTGATAACATTCTTAAGATTATATTTAAGATTTAAAGCACTCCCTGGTTCAAAGCGCTACTGCTTTTCACAATATTTCTCATTTCACTTCTCAATGCCTTAGTTAAGATGCACAAGCACCTCCCACATGGCAGGACAACCAAAGGGCACCTGTGGACAAACCTGCAGACCACCTAACTTATTAGTCAAGCTAGTGTTTTTCCTTCTCTGTTTCCCATTTCCAGCTACTTTCAAATTGGTTTTTTTGATCTGGATTCCTACAGGGAAGGAGCTTTTAGGCAGACTCTGAAATAGGCTCACCCTTAAAACCAGTTTCTTTCCACTTTCTGCTCAACATTAGCCACACGAAGTTCTGTTTAGTCCCACTTTCAGAAGTATTTAAAGTATCTCCCTCCTACAACATTTCTCAGTAGTACAATTCAGCAAGGCAGAGTTCTTATAACTCAGAGGAGTATCAGACTCTGTAAAATGCGGGGATCATTCCTGATGGATGCCAGGAGGCAGCCTGTATGACATCTGTACTTCTTCACACACCTGCCAAGTTCCAGTATGGAAGGGGCTGGCAAATGGCCTGAACCAGCAGGTGAGAGCGATACTTGGGTCAGCGCTGAGTCACAGAACCTTTGACATGGAAGAAAGGACTAACAAAGAAAAGGGGACAGGTATAAAGGTGAAAGAGAAATAGCAGCATCTCTGTGTGCTTTTCTCCCTTTCTGCTCTAAAAACCAGCTCTTCTGTGTCTTGGCCTAACTTGTGAAAACAGGTGCCTCCATTTCAGCAAAGAAAGGATTTAAGCCCTGTACATAAGCCACTACTGAAGTGCTGAAGTATGACTGGTCACCTGAAGCATTACCTGACTTCATCTCTTAAAACAGCAAACTGTACTCAATACACACATGCACTCTACTGCATTAATGTGACAAAGGAGGACAGTAAAAGGCATTACTAATAAAACGTAATGATGTAATGTAGAACTTAAAGACTATTCAGATCATGTGTTAAACATCAAGCTAAATCCTGATGCTAAGATTTAGAAAGTGCAAGAAGCACAGCTTCTTTTACTTTTAACTCTGAGCATGTGCTTTTACTGAAGAGAAAAAAATTATTAAGAAACAATCTCCAAAATTTAAGAGTGGGCATATGTTTCATCCATCTCTCTGGCACAGTATTACACTTGTCAAAATTCATACGCACACAAATTATTCAGAGCAGCAAAGGTCACTAACCACAGGTCACATTAGGCAATATGTTACACTCAGCATTTTTTTTGCCACTTTCTGGTGTGCCTGAACTTTTAAATTCTCCACTGTGTTTCAGTGTGTGTTTCTAAAGTATCTGAATTGAAAGATGAAAAACCAATTGAGTTTCTTCTCCGGTATTTTCCACCCGTTTCATATAATATGCAAATGATGTTATTTCCTGTATTGTTTTTAAGACAAGAAGACAGCTGTACATCTGCCTTCACTTTAGATAACTGTTCTTCCTTCAGTCTAAACATTCTTCTTGATTATGCTCACTTGATCTAGAAACCAGTGGTGCTTTCTTGGTGATCTACATTAAGACAAGAAAAGATTTTGTAGATGTTCTCTGCTACTATTGAGATAAACAGTAATTGTGCTTTCATCAATATTAAGTCAATAAATTCAGGCAGGGAAGTAACAAAAAAAAAAATCTTACTTTACCAGTTGATTTTGGAATATTATTACAAGAGCAGCAATGTATGATTAAGCAATTCTGAACCTATACAGAAAGACTCAAGACAGCTAGACTTGGAACTTCCAAGTTCCATCATAATTGAGATTAAGCCACCTGTGTACAGATGTTGTGCATATATGATGTCAATTTACAGGGAATAAGGTAATCTGAGTAAGGGTCACAATTTAACTATTTAACTGACAGAAGTGATCCACCTCCATATATTTTATGATCCAAACACTACTTCTAATGTTTGATAAAGAATGGGGTCAAGACCAGAAACAACACAGAAGTAAAGCTCTGTGCCTGCTTCTTTAAGTCAGTCCCTTCTCTACTATAATATTAAAGACTCAGAACACCATGAAGCAATTTGTCATACATCTTTAATCATAATACAATAACGTAGTGTTTCTCCCTTTAATGAATACCCTCCATGTTGCCCTTTTTAATGAAAACTAAATACCTGCAAGAAAGCAAAAATTACAGTGCATAAAAAACATGATGTAAATTCATCTTTCAGTGTGTTTGCACAACTACTTGCGCATGGTCGGAAACACATTAAAAAATTTTAGAGAATTGCAGCCGTTTGCTACACATAAGCACCATCTAATTCACATCTGAATGTTACTCAAGGCAGTTAAGTTTCCTCCTACTGGAAACATCCATTTACCAAATCATTCTCAGGCAGGTACAACGACAACATTATGGCAGAAGTTTCAAAGTCTTAAAACAGCTCACTATGGCAGAGAACTGGATGTGCAGCAAATCATTTACGTGGTATCCTGGTTTTGACCAGATGTCACAATCCACAGGAACTACATACTACTTTGAAGCTAAATCTACACCAAAATTTTAGTTGTACCTGAAGTTCTTACTGACGTAAGAGAGGTCTGTGACCTCCTGAACACTTTAATCAATTCACAATGAGCAGTGCCCCATAGGGAATAAGAAGTCACACTAGAGGATCCCCTTGTCCTAAATTTGCAAAAAGCAGCATCCACCATCAGTTTAAATGGAAGACGAATTTCAAAAAGACTGCCAGTGAATTACAAGCAGCTACCAATATCAAAACCAGATGCTTGCAAGTGTCTTCTGGTGGGGTTAAATTATTAAAATAATACAGCTTTTTGAGCAGACCAAACTTTAAACAGGCTGGATGTATTTTATTTTTCAAGCAGCACAAGAAAAATCAAATACATTACTTGTATGTTCAATTATCAAGCAACAGTTTCTAT